CTATCGTTCGTCCTTTAATACTGCACGAAGAACCTATCGTTCGTCCTTTAATACTGCACGAAGAACCCATCGTTCGTCCTTTAATACTGCACGAAGAACCCATCGTTCGTCCTTTAATTCTGCACGAAGAACCCATCGTTCGTCCTTTAATTCTGCACGAAGAACCCATCGTTCGTCCTTTAATACTGCACGAAGAACCCATCGTTCGTCCTTTAATTCTGCACAAGGAACTATCGTTTGTTCAGTGATTCTGTACTAAGAACCTATCGTTTGTCCAGTGATTCTGTACTAAGAATCTATCGTGTCAATTGTAATTCTGTACTAAGAACCTATCGTTTGTCCCGTAATTTTACACTAAGAACCTATTGTTTCTCTAACGTTGACCAGTTACAAAATATAAATTGACGCTCTGCTAGAGTTGAAAGGATAAATGCTTATACCACTTAAAACTGAAGTGACTACTTAGTCACACGCTGGCTGAGAAGATGTTTTCGTACTCTACACTTTCTTTTTCCTTTATAGATCTTTGATTATTCGGAATTGACACAGAATTCGCATCTTCTTCAAGCATCAGGACAACAGTCGCCATCTATTTGTAAACCAGGAAGTACACAAGGGACAAAAAGACAATGGCGTGAATATGGAAGAAGTACAGACGCAGAGAAAATCCAAATACCACGAATGTAAGTTTGTGCATTTGTAAAATAAGATACATTTTTTATTATTGTATTTCTAATAATAGAACCAAAACTTCTACAGGATCAATGTCATGGTACATGTTTTTTATTCCTCTGATTCTTAGGACATTTTATTAGCGGCTTACATTATGGCACGAAACGCCATCTGCAATTGTTGTTTCTAGGGTTGTTTAAGTAGACGAGATACTGTAGATGTTTTTGCTTAAGTGGACTTTGATGTGAAGAAGGCTTCAGTATAAAAGCCAAAACGTCATTCCACTTTAAAGACATACAGGAACAGCCCCTTCGAGCTAAAACTCTGCCACCTGTAGATGATTTTACAATTGGACATTGTAAAAGTTGGGTAACTTCTGTAGATATGTAAAGTCAGGTGTTTATTATTTTTGTTTTAACGTTCCACTTTATTTCTTAAGTAAGGTTTTCAACAGCGCCCTCTACCTGGAGACAAGATCCAACTTGTACTATTCATTCGGTCGTTAAATACAGGGTGTCCAGAAGTTAAGTTAATTGAGGGTTTACTTAGAACTACAGATGTTCGTAGTAGCAAAACATTAGCCATACGATTTGTACCAAGCATTATCTTCATGCCACACCTTTGGTAGGCAGAATTATATATAGCTACAAACCTGAACGGAGAATATGTTATTGATATTTTCATGTTGCCACGACTCGCAAGTTTTAAGAACATGTAACTCTCTTATTTTCTTGCAAGGTAAAAGTGGACTTATAGTGAAGTTTTCTTATTTTTTTATTCATTTTCATTGAGAGTAGGTTGATCGATGTATGTTTGGATATTCAGATCAATTGTCAGATTGATATTCGATCCAGTAAAATATGAACTAAAATCGTTGATTTCCTTAGTGATAAATACATGAAATTTCGTTGCAACTAAACTACATTAAAATATCTCCAAATAAAAATACTCATTGTAGCTTAGTGGCGCTGCTGTAGCTATGTTTACGTTGTCAGCTGCCTGTACTGTGTTTCACATTTAAACTAATTTACTTATATATGTTTTTGTGCAGTTTAAGGTTGTTGTTTTTTAAAACAGTTATTATTGATATAAACTGTTATTGTTATAGGTGATGTAAATATACTGCACTTTAGAGCATTAACAAGGTATCAAAATGTTTCATGAAAAATGTGAGAACGCTTTCGTAGCCGGAATTTTCGTCTATTCAGCACTGCCCAGGTCCGGAAGATGTCAGATAATAAAGTTTTTTATTGTATATAGTTAGTTACCTGAATCGAAAACTAATCAGTCTATAGTTAAATGCCCCCCAGTGGCACAGCGGTATGTCTGGGGACTTAGAACGCTAGTAACCGGGTTTCGATACCCGTGGTGGGCAGAGCACAGATAGCCCATTGTGTAGCTTTGTGCTTAATTCCAAACAAACAAACAAACTATAGTTAAAAGTATAGAAAGTCTTGATGTGTTGTTTATTTGGTTAAGACTAATTTAAGAAATAAACAGTTAATAAGTCCTGATGTGTTGTTTAGTTGGTTAAGACTAATTTAAGAAATAAACAGTTAATACGTCTTGATGTGTTGTTTAGGTGGTTAAGACTAATTTAACAAATAAACAGTTAATAAGTCCTGATGTGTTGTTTAGTTGGTTAAGGTTAATTTAACAAATAAACAGTTAATAAGTCCTGATATGTTGTTTAGTTGGTTAAGGCTAATTTAAGAAATAAACATTTAATAAGTCCTGATGTGTTGTTTAGTTGGTTAAGACTAATTTAAGAAATAAACAGTTAATACGTCTTGATGTGTTTAGGTGGTTAAGACTAATTTAACAAATAAACATTTAATAAGTCCTGATGTGTTGTTTAGTTGGTTAAGACTAATTTAAGAAATAAACAGTTAATACGTCTTGATGTGTTGTTTAGGTGGTTAAGACTAATTTAACAAATAAACAGTTAATAAGTCCTGATGTGTTGTTTAGTTGGTTAAGGTTAATTTAACAAATAAACAGTTAATAAGTCCTGATATGTTGCTTAGTTGGTTAAGGCTAATTTAAGAAATAAACATTTAATAAGTCCTGATGTGTTGTTTAGTTGGTTAAGACTAATTTAAGAAATAAACGATTTAATAAGTCTTGATGTGTTGTTTAGTTGGTTAAGGCTAATTTAAGAAATAAGCAGTTAATAAGTCTTGATACGTTGTTTAGCTGGTTAAGACTAATTTAAGAAATAAACGGTTAATAAGTCCTGATGTGTTGTTTAGTTGGTTAAGACTAATTTAAGAAATAAACGGTTAATAAGTCCTGATATGTTGTTTAGTTGTTTAAGGCTAATTTAAGAAATAAACATTTAATAAGTCCTGATGTGTTGTTTAGTTGGTTAAGACTAATTTAAGAAATAAACATTTTATAAGTCCTGATGTGTTGTTTAGTTGGTTAAGACTAATTTAAGAAATAAACAGTTAATAAGTCCGAAATAAACGGTTAATAAGTTCTGATATGTCGTTTAGTTTTTTAAGACCAACTTAAGACACAAACAGTTAATAAGTCCTGATGTATCGTTTAGTTGGTTGAGATCAATTTAAGAAATTGTTACGACAGCAGTATTCACGTGACGCTGGTAACACGTCATGGG